AACCCAATATATATACTGATCAGATAGTATTCCTCCGAACTTTGAAACTCTCCCTTGTAATTCCAGCCTTTTATTTTTCTGACAGAAACAATTTTTTTATAGTATTTGTGAGACTGTCAGGCAGCACTCATTAAGTTTTGCATTGGTTTTTATTTTCGAAAGGTGAGAGTGTGATAGCAAAGGTAGAGAGTGGGGCAGATGTCTGATGTCTGTTGTTGCTGGGCAGTATGGCTTGAACAGGTCTACAATAGGCCACAGTTCAATCTTATCTAAGAAAGATACAGTATAATTAAGAAGACTCAAGCAGCTTAAGGAGTAACAAAAGTCACATCTGAGAAATAAAGAACCTGAAACAGATCTGACATAATGGAACCTGAAACAGATCTGACACAGAAGAATGCCAAGAACTCTTGAATGAAGAACACCAAGAAACTCGGCGAGATATGTTTTCTTCTGAAAAAGAGGATTAATGTCGATATATGCTATTAAACATTTTTTTGAAAAAGTGGGATGATGTCAGAATGATGGTCTTAGAATGGCATCCAAACCAGGTTGAGGTTAATAGGCTTGGAAATCTCTACAATTACATTCCTATTAATTACTTCTGAAAAATCCTGAAGAAAAGAGAAAAGCAATCGACATTAGACAGATTCTTTAACCCAAACAAACAGAAAAAACATGACAAATAAAAATGCAACACTGTGTATATATGTATTTTTATTATTATGTACAAATAAAAATAGTAAGAACATGTAGTTTGCCGGGTCACGTGAGCCCCATGGTATCAGCTCCAGAATGTACGTCGGCTTTCGATATACTTTAGTACGGTGAACTCCTTCTCTTTCCTCTTCTCCTTGCGTTCAATATCTCTTTTTTGTGCTTTCTGTATTAAATCTTTTATTTGACCCGGCAAACTACAAACTAGCAGCATTTAGAGCAGTGTTTAAAAGGGCATTCGTACACTGTAGCAAGATTCAAGACACAAGAAAAAAAGTTGAATACATTGCAAAGCTAGCAAGAGAGGTAGGAATAAAGCAAAGTAAAATAAAAGACTTAATACAGAAAACACAAAAAAGAGACATTGAACGCAAGGAGAAGATGAAAGAGGAGGAGTTCACCATAATGGAATACAGGACACCGTTAACCAGCATATACAAGAAAATAGGAATAGCAAGTAATAAGAAAATAGCCTATAAGAGGAACCCTACAATATTTCAGATGTTAAGAAATGACAAAGCACCCTTAGACAAAAAAATTGGTTCCAGGGATTTACAGAATACTGTTACACGATAAAAGGCGCCAAAAGGAACTGTATTATATAGGGGCCATAAAACAGTTGCTTACTAAAAGGTTGAAAGAGCACAAAAGGAATATTAGATATGAGCATTAAAGGAATTAGATATGCCAGTCATGACGTTAGCAAATTACGTGATTGCAGAACCAACAGAGGTTTCAGTTAATTGGGATAAAGTAGAACTTATACAAAAAGTTGCAAGCAGACGACATCTAAAGTATACAGAAGCATGGCATATTAATAAGTACAATGAAAAAGGGCAAGCTATAAATTTTCGGGAATCCTATAAACTAACATCGGCATGGAAAGCGGCAGCTTTGCAAGTTTAAAAAAGCAAACTGGGCTTGCGCATTTGAATCTATGATAGTTTGTTTTTTAAAAAAAGCATTCTATAATTTCTGTCCGGCAATAGAATTTTCAGTTTGAAATAAACTTTTTTGTTTGAGCGTGAAGAAGGTCAGTGAAGATGATCAAAATCGTTCAGTATTTTAGCAAAATAAGCTGCATTTTAAAGGTTGGTTGGAGCATTTTTGATGTTAGGGTTTTGACTAACTTCTTTAATATCAATTTTCTTATAAAATATCCATATAATTCCCATTCACTATACTGTAATTCCTGTATCCTTGAAGGTAAGAGATAAAATTATGACAATGAAGATTGATCATAAATCCTAATGAATTGAAGCAAAGAACTATACAAAAAATGTGTACAATCAGTATCAGGCATTTCATTTTAAATGTTTTTCACATTTTCAATAAAAATAGTTTAGATACATAAAAACATACCGCTGAAATACTAAAAATTCAGTAACATTTTATTTCAAAAATTCTTTTGATACAAACATGATTTTATTAATAGATTCTGGTTAAAAATGAATTGAGTCACTTATTAATTGAAAGTTAAACTGATATCATAACAGCAAGTAACTAAATTTTTAAAACTTACAAATGCTATTACCATACATAAATTAATATGGGAATATAATAGAATTTTTGGATTAACAAATTTAGATATTTTATAAACTAAGCTCCTATATAAAGTTTTGAAGGTTTTACATTTACATGACCAGTGTTATAAAGAAAATTTTTAAATGGACGTGTATATTTCTATGGAAAGGTATGGAAAGGCTTATTTGTATCAGATATAACTTAACAAAGACAAAATTATGTAAACATTGTATACCTTTAAAAAATTCAGTTTTTAAAATATATAAAATATTTTGTGAGATTTCAAAAATCTCAACAAGTTTGTAAACTTCAATAAGTTTTGGAAATTATTTAATATATTGCTTAAATATTGCTTATTTAAGCAATATATACTATTTATTTGAGATTAATTTCTAGATATTTTCTCAAGTGTAATGTATACTATATTTAGCATAATTTTTTTTTATCTATAACTAATAATTCAGATGAAACAAAATACAGTAGTTCTTTGTCATTTTCCGGTTTGACACATCCGGTAATTTGACATTTCGTTATTGGGCCACGTGTGAAATTTTTATGTACTTGAAGTATGCAGCAGAGAGAGACTTACGTACATGTATACTGTCATTCGCTAGTTGTTTGTTGCAAGTGCATTGGCAAAACAGTCACAATCATGATTAATATGATAAACTAATCTCTGGACCATATATACAAAATCCAGTCATTTGACAATCTGCTGTAATCTGACACCTGCTGGTCTGATATACATAGGATTATAGAGGCTCTACTTTATATGTAAGAGATATATAAATGGCACATGGAATCTGATATTTATATAGAACTTGATTTTAGCAGATTTTTCATTTTATGGCCATATAAATTAGTAAGTTTATTTTAAATTATAATGTTAATTAAGTATTATTTTTTAAAATTGAAAGTATTTGAATTGATTAATTTCTTATTTAAGTTTTCCATGGGACAGACTTCAAGAATATTCTTTTTTTCTTTTTATATTTTGTTGTTATTCTTTATTACTTACACTTTTGTATACATAATGTGCAATTAAAATAATTTAACATACTCCTCTATAATCTATTCAAATATTCTTTCCAAAAAAGTAATCAAAGATGTGTTTAAAGCAAAAGAAAATAATTCAACTATTTTTAAATATCAGTAAAAATTTCATTTAATTTTCTGTGTTGTTTTTTAAATTATTTTACAAAATTGAGGAATTTCAAATCACCTATTTTATTTTTAAATTTATTTTGTTTGATTTTGTTCCAACTTGCAGCATATAAAGTTTTGAGCAGACTTTTCTTTTCTGTCTACATAAATCATTTTTTTTTAGTCAACTTAATTTTTTTAGTCAACTTAATTTTTTTAGTCAACTTATTTTATGTTGTTGCTTATGCTGACAACATTTAGTTCACTAACTGTAACTCAGATGTCCTCCAATCGGATCTACAACCTTTAGCAATTCTTTTGAAAAAGATAACCCTAAAATTAACACAAAAAACAGTTGGCATCTGCATTTTTTTACTTTGGAATTCGTCCTTGCTTCCTTTTGTCGTCGGAACAAACCATTTAAATCATATAGACTCTATGAATTACTTTGGTAGTTTTTGATGATAAACTCATGTTTTCAGAACACATTGCCAAAAAAGTTAAATTTCTTGTTTTGCCATACGTCATGGAATTCTCTGGAGGTTTTGCAGATCCATTTCTTCGAAATGGGTATTATGTTTTATATATATATATATTTTTTTTTACAAACTTTCAATCTCTTGCTGATTATGGTTTATCGATCTGGACCATGGCAGCTCATTCCCATTTAGGAAAATTTTTGAAAGAACTTGACAAAATTTATCTCATTTTAAATAAACTACCATTTTCTTATTATCATTCAAATATCAGCAGGTCCAGACTGAGGCTCCGTACTTTTACAGAACACATTAAATATTTTGATTGGCTTTTACATTTTAAATATTTTAATGATTACATACAGTCTGATTTTGCTTTTACTAACAACAACACAGCAAAACATACATAACCCTGCATATATGTTTACACTTTTTTTTTAGATTAAAAAAAGGTGTAAAAATATTTGGTGACCATAAATATAAAGGTGTCCATTTTTTAAAGATCGTTTTTTTATTATATTACACAAAATATGATTGACCTCAAAAACATACTTTATGAAAATTTTACTTGTTTTAAAAGTACTTGTAAATATATTCTCTTTATAAATGAAATTTTTTTTTATTTTCATTTTTGTGATTGTTTTAATGCATTCTAATGTATGTTCTAATGTCTTTTTCTGTTACATATTTTTAGCTTTTTATTTATTTATTTGTTATTTATTTTTTTTGTTACACAGAGTTGGAAATATTTTGTCTCACTCAGACTTTTTCTAATGTAATAAAAATAAAGAAATAAAATATATTGTTGATAGAATTCATTGGATATTCTATTATTAAGATTTAAGAATGATAAAAGATTGATCAAGTTTTTTGAAACATTTGTATAGTGTGCTCTTAGAAAAGTAATATAAACTAATTAATAATTAAAATTTATGACCTTTATTTTTGAAATTAAATTTTACATATAGCTATAATTATTACTTAATCAAATAAATTCATTTCATAAATTCAATTTCCAACTGAAACCTGTATCTTTTTGAAATGAATTTAAATAGCTTACTTTTTTAATTGTATAGCTTAAATGTATTTTAAACAGGAAAAATTAAATTAAGCACTTAAAAGAATGTTATATATTTAAAATTTTAGGTGTTTGTTTACCACCTTGCAAGACATGTGAAATAAACGATTACCGAATGTGCTCTGCTTGTTTAAATGACAAACATGTAATTTTCAAGGGCCAATGTCAAGAGAAATGTCCAGAAGGATATTTCATTGATTTTCATGGAGTTTGCCAAAGTAGGATATATTTTTCATGATTGATTTTATTAATCTATTTTATTTATTTATTAGATTTTATTTAATTTCATTTATGTATTTTAAAAAAATGTTAATAATTGTTATTTTTACTTTTTTAGTGATTAGCATGTTAAATTACAAATAGTATTATTTTATTAATGTTAAATATATGTATTTCAATATGCTATGGAATTATATGGGGATTCTTATTTTAGAAATTTTTCTCTAAATTTTCAGTTCTTAGTTTACTGTTGTTTCCAGGTGTGTTCTGCTATTAATCCAAGTTTATAAGATAAAATAATCATTGAATTCTCAGTTAAAAATTTTTCTAGTGGTTTTATGTGGAAATTTAGACCAAATAAACCAATTAGTCTAATAGTCTATTGTGAATCAATGGGTTCTATTGGAGCAATAAGTTTTATTGGATTTTAATTTCCAACTGAAACCTATATGTATGTTGAATGGCAAGAACATTGAGTCAAAGTTACAATTTAGTTAATAATTAATTAATTTATTTAAATACTTTATACATAAATTAATTTTTAGGAGGAGGAGTAACATACGTGATAACTAATTAATAATTCAAACATTGTAAGACTGGAATAAAGTATTTCATAAAAAATGCAAACCTCTGAACCTTCTAAATGAAATTTCAACATAGTTTAATGCAGAAAAAATAAAAATGCTTTCAGTCTATATAGGAGATTGTCAAGTTAATGTGTTTCAAGATGGAATGTGAGGAAAGGAACATTTTAAAATTATTTGAAAATGCATTATACACTTGTGCAATTTCGATGTATTTGAGAGTTTTCAAATAATTTTAAAATGTTCCTTTCCTCACATTCCATTTTGGAACACATTAACTTGACGATCTCCTATATAGATCGAAAGCATTTTTTCTGCATTAAACTATGCTGGAATTTCATTTATAAGGTTCAGAGGTTTGCATTTTTTATTTAATTAAATTGTTCTTACACCAGACAGTCTCAATCGAATTATTGTTAGAAAATAATTCATGGATTTTATCAGCTGGTTCTTTACGAATAACACTACAAATACATGCTGATAAACAAAAAAACTTATCCAATTTTTTACAGTCAAACAAATAATGATTCAGGGTAACATTTCCCTTCATACAATAAGCACCTACAACTGATGAATTTAAATATACAGTAGAGCGTCGTTTATCCGAAGGTCGGTTATCCGAAAGAATTCCAGTCGGCCTAAAGTATGATTTTTATTTGTTTTTATATTTTTCAATGTATTTACTTCTTTTGTAAAACATAAAGAAATCATTTTTAACGATACAATAGCCACGATTATTATTTTAAAAAGTTTACGTTAGGCTTAACATCGACGAAAATTCAATGCTAAGTGACACGCAACAGAGAAAAATTTCAACTCAGGATAGGTTAATATATTTTTTCGCACATAATCGGTTATCCTTTTGATTTTCTGGCTTTACATGTAGTGCCATCTATTGGCCAAAAATTTAATAAAGTAAATATAATTACAGTAATAGCTCAACTTACGTGAACCCGGAGTTACATGATTTTCAAATCTCGTCGATTCATCTTTTGTTTGAGCGGCACACAACTCTTGATTACTCACTCCCCCACTGTTGTTCAGCTTACATGCTCAGATGTGTCGTGCAGAATCAACACATAGCTACAATTTATTTTGTGTTATTTATTTCTTTGTTTTTTATATCTACGGAGACTCGAGAGACTCTACTATGTCATCCAAACGAAGTANGATTATTTTATAATAATATAAAAATTAAATACTTTATCATCTTACATGTAATTTAACTCTATTTTTTTGTAAGATACATTTGTAAAATTTAGTAGTGAAAGTAATGTAAGGATGAACTCAAAGCCATAAGTTGAATTAATATTTTATTATTTTTTATTCATGTATCAGAGCAATAGATTATATGAACACTACACATAATCAATATTCAGTAAGAAAAAAATTACAAGAAACAGACATCATCAGGCTAACTGACAATGCCCATTCAACATGGACAAAAATATTTGCTTTCTTGTAGTTTTTCTCTTGCTAGATATTGATTATATATGTAGTGTTTATTTACGTATACCAAGTTTTGGTAGTTGAATTTAGAGGGATAGATAAATAAATAAATAAATATATATATATATATATATAAAATGAGGATGTTTGTTTGTTTGGTCACTATGCACTCCTAGGCTGTNAGAGAGACACACACACACACACACTGAAAAATATATGTATAGATGTTAGATGAATTTGAGTAAAGATTATAATTGTTTTAATTTAGAGCTAAAACTAAGCTTTTAACATTTATTTCTAATGCTAACAAATAAAAAAATAAATTTTTTACTAAAATAAAACAAGTTCATTTATTGTTGCTTTATAGATTGTCAGAAAAATCTTTCAATTATGATAATTTATCTGAAATTTTCATTAATTTTCTTATTTAGTTTGTCATCAGAATTGCAAAGAATGTTTTGGGAGAGAAGAAAATCAATGTTTATTATGCTACAACAGCAGATTACTAAAACATGGAAGCTGTGTTGAAAATTGTGGAGAAAGTTATTTTGTATTTAACCGATCATGTGAAGGTGATTATTTTATAATAATATAAAAATTAAATACTTTATCATCTTACATGTAATTTAACTCTATTTTTTTGTAAGATACATTTGTAAAATTTAGTAGTGAAAGTAATGTAAGGATGAACTCAAAGCCATAAGTTGAATTAATATTTTATTATTTTTTATTCATGTATCAGAGCAATAGATTATATGAACACTACACATAATCAATATTCAGTAAGAAAAAAATTACAAGAAACAGACATCATCAGGCTAACTGACAATGCCCATTCAACATGGACAAAAATATTTGCTTTCTTGTAGTTTTTCTCTTGCTAGATATTGATTATATATGTAGTGTTTATTTACGTATACCAAGTTTTGGTAGTTGAATTTAGAGGGATAGATAAATAAATAAATAAATATATATATATATATATATAAAATGAGGATGTTTGTTTGTTTGGTCACTATGCACTCCTAGGCTGTTTGATCATTTGCTATGAAACTTGGAAACTATGTTCATATACTTCTAACTTAGATCATGTTGTCTCACTAAAATATTGATGAATTTCTACATATCAGTTAATTTCTGTCTACATTTTGATTTTCTGGCTTTACATGTAGTGCCATCTATTGGCCAAAAATTTAATAAAGTAAATATAATTACAGTAATAGCTCAACTTACGTGAACCCGGAGTTACATGATTTTCAAATCTCGTCGATTCATCTTTTGTTTGAGCGGCACACAACTCTTGATTACTCACTCCCCCACTGTTGTTCAGCTTACATGCTCAGATGTGTCGTGCAGAATCAACACATAGCTACAATTTATTTTGTGTTATTTATTTCTTTGTTTTTTATATCTACGGAGACTCGAGAGACTCTACTATGTCATCCAAACGAAGTAGAACTGATTCTTCTGCATCAAACAAGAAAAGAAAAACTTTATTTTTGGAATGTAAAGCTAACATTATTAAAGACTTTGATACAAAAATGAAAATTTGTGAATTGGCAAAGAAGTTTGATCTACCGGAATTGACGGTCAGAACAATTATAAAAGTAAAGAAAAAATTCTTGAAGCTGTGAAAAAATGCTCAATCTTTAAATTCAAGCATCATTTGTAAACGTCACAGTATTATCGCCGAGATGAAAACAATTTTAAAATTATGGTGTGATAATCAAGTAAATGTGAAAAATTGTATAATAATATAATTTGTTATACATATGCATTATCTAAGATTTTATTAAACATTTTTTTCTAAATTATTGTTTTCTTTAGTCTCCGGCCCAATTAAAAATTATTTGTATGTATTTATATGCAAAATTATACCCCGACTTACGCGAATTCGACCTACGTGGTTATCGCTCTGTCCCTCCTATCACGTAAGTTTGGGGTATTACTGTATTACAAAAAACGGATATAATTTTAAAAATATATACATGTAACCCCCTTATAACATGGCACTTCTATAGCACGAATTCACTCTAATACGGTTCGAGAATTGGGACCATCCCCGTATAACATAGTACTGTTATAGCACGGATTCACTCTGACACGGTCCGAGAATTGGGTTAAACCCTTGTACAACATGAAATGTAATAAATTTTTACATAAGTACTAATAGTTTACGAAAATTATTATTTTTGTGAACTATTAGTACATAAGTGTGTAAATTTTCTTTTCTAGTCATCTGTCGATACACATGGTCCTTCTCGAAACTTGTTTCAATGTTGCCAGATCGCGATNCTCCCCCACTGTTGTTCAGCTTACATGCTCAGATGTGTCGTGCAGAATCAACACATAGCTACAATTTATTTTGTGTTATTTATTTCTTTGTTTTTTATATCTACGGAGACTCTACTATGTCATCCAAACGAAGTAGAACTCACTTAAGAAAATTTTAATAAAGATATTTATCTTAATTATGAAAATATAATAGCATGTTTTTTAACTTTTGGAACCTAACCCTCCTTTTTGTACTAGTTCTTTGTTTCGTATAACATGGATTCGCATAATAAGGCAAGTTTTTAGAACGTAACTCCCGTGTTATATGGGGGTTACCTGTATATTATATTCACTTAATTACTGTGACAATGATATAGTGCAAAATAGATACACCATTAAACCATTACTGCAACAGGTAAGGTAGCACATAGCACTTGTCTGTGTGGAGTGTAGTAGTAGTTTGCCCCTGTACATCATACTTTTCCTGTAGCCATAGCCATGCTGGTTATGTATCTAACTCTGTTCAGGGGAAAATTTTTTAATTGAAATAATGTAACTTTTTGGTTTTCATCAGAAGTTTGTATATAGTTAATTAGGATCTCCTGCCCTAAGCTCTCCATATCTGGTCTTGGCATTCATCTATCTAACTCTGTTCTCAAGATTAGGGATAGACAGCAGATGGACAACAGTGAATTTAGATTTACAATTTTTTCAAATTGCAGTGCAATAAGTACCCTCCAGTAACCGAGTGGATAAAATTACCGAACACCAGTAGTTGGTTGTGGGTTTGTGCAACTGTTTGTCCATCTGAAGTTTTCTGAAGATGGACAATCTGTTGGCATGATATTCATGTGGACATCCATGTGAATATGGTGGTAATTAAGTATTTATCATGTAGATGTTCATGTGATAAACACTTAACTGCCACAAAACTAGATACCCCTTCCCTGATTTCATCTTTCTTTAGTAACTCATAAAACCATTGCTCCAAACTTCTTTCACTAATACTGCTTAAAAATGTTCTAATGTTCAACCAAATTAATGTATGAATATATTCAATGATTTTAAGGCACAAAGTATTGGAGTATTTTTTTTGTGCCAATGTTTATATTTCCTATTTATTATCGTTGTGAGATTGCTTTATCCAAATCTTCCTGTAGTTGTAGCCTGTGTGTAATCTGTACTTTATTCACATGTTGAGTCTTACAAGTTAGTGTCAAATCTGCTTCCACTATTCCTATGTCACAACTTTCAAAACTTTCCGTTACTTATATGTTTTGCTGAGCTTTACTTTTTCAACCTGGTTTCACCAGTTTTTTGGGGATCACATAAAAGCAATTATTCTTGCATTTTTATGGGTTTTTTTATTTTATTTAAACAAGTCATATGAAGTCTTTCAGACATTAAAGTAACAACTTCAATCATATGTGGAGCCATCACAACATATCCAACATGGATCATTTTTCAAATATTAATAGTAGATCAGTATTAATGAGTATTCTTTGACCATCTTGCTTCTGAGAGGAGGTCAGCAATTACTTTTGGTCGAATTAACTTCACCCCCTTTTGCAATTGTCTTTTCTTCTGATCGAACCAACAGCATGGGGGGCATTTGAATATGAAAATTACATAATATGAGGTTTACAGCCTGCTCAAAATATGCTTTAAATGATTTTTGAGGGTGCTGAGTTTAAATACTTGCTCTATTAATACTTGTCTCTAATTATTTCTTCAATATTTTTAGAATATTGTTTGATATTTGGCTATGAATGAAACAGTTTGTTACAGCTAACTTTAGAAAAATAAATATCTTAAATTTAAGATTATATAATTAAGATATTGTATTTTCAATTGCTGTCTGCTTGACCAATAAAATTGTGCAATTTTGTACTGTCCAAGTATTGTAATTAACATGACAGTGGTAGGCTAAAAAACCAAACTCTTTATATGGTTTTCATTTTAATGTTTGCTATATCATAGTACTAGCTGTTACCAGCGGCTTTGCTCATGCGGATTTTGCAAGCAAACCCCATTTATATTCAGTATTTCAACAACCATAGTAATTGTTATATAACACCTACCGCTGAGAATGATGAGAATTGCTGAGAATCAAACAAACTATTTTCAATTTGATCAATTTTCTGGAACATTTACAATCGTTCTATAATCGAACCAATATGCAATAACAAATTCGAATTTAAAACGGTTCAAACATTTTTGAAATTGAAATAGATAAAAATATTTATAACAATGTCTGAAATGTTATTAATTTAATACACCTAAGTACTTGATGAAGACTAAATCCTCTCCCTCTTCCCCACGTGGGGGAATTTCGAAAAATCCCTTCTTAGTGTGCAGTCCCATGGCATACCCTACTAAAACATATATAAAAACAGAAAATTGCATCTAAAATAGTGCAGTAGAAGCCATTGTTCTGGTTAAGCTTTAATTCTCTCCCTATCCCCCGCAGAAGAATTTCGAAAAATCCCTTCTTAGTGTGCGTTTCCATGACGTACCCTAACTGTCTACCAAATTTCACCTCTTTAGGTTAAGTGGTTTGCTCTGGGCGATGATGAATCAGTGAGTGAATGAGTGAGTCAGTCAGGACAAGGAATTTTATATACAGTAGAGCGTCGTTTATCCGAAAGTCAGTTATCCGAAAGAATTCCAGTCGGCCTAAAGTATGATTTTTATTTGTTTTTATATTTTTCAATGTATTTACTTCTTTTGTAAAACATAAAGAAATCATTTTTAACGATACAATAGCCACGATTATTATTTTAAAAAGTTTACGTTAGGCTTAACATCGACGAAAATTCAATGCTAAGTGACACGCAACAGAGAAAAATTTCAACTCAGGATAGGTTAATATATTTTTTCGCACATAATCGGTTATCCGAAAAATAAGTTATCTGAACAACCTCAGTCCCCAATTGATTCGGATAAACGACGCTCTACTGTATTTAGATTTGATTTATATAACTGCAAAGGTTATCTTATATAAGGGTTTATCACACAGAGTGACCAATCTAACACATTTTAAATTAAAAATTCTTTATTTTTCTACTGTACACAATTTAAAGAAATTTTTAAATATGTTAGATTGTTCATTTGGTATGATAAACCCTTACATAAAGGTAANTCTAACACATTTTAAATTAAAAATTCTTTATTTTTCTACTGTACACAATTTAAAGAAATTTTTAAATATGTTAGATTGTTCATTTGGTATGATAAACCCTTACATAAAGGTAACCTTTGCAGTTATATAAATCAAATTCTGTAATATAATACAATA